CATGTTTCACATGTCTTCACGTATCGGGCGACCCACGTGTACATGTGGGTCCACCAGAAGGCCTGAGAGACCGACAGGAAGGTCTTCTCGCGGCCTAAGAGGCCGCCGGAGGGCGCGTCGTGCGCCTCCGCGAGGATATCGAACTTCAGATCCTTGTCGTTGGGTACGACCACCCGTGGTGGTTCATTGGGCTACACCCGGTAAAAGAGGAGGCCATCCTTCAACTCATATCGGTGGAGCCGTGAGCGCTGTCGCGACAAGAGCCAGTCGAACTTCACGCCCGTATCTGCCATGAGATATTTGACGATAGGCGCGACAGCATCATCGTCCCGATACGCCATGCGTATCCGATCATATAGATCCGTTTTCACCCGTGTGATGTGGGCCAACTCATAGTCTGGACGCCGAGAGAGGGCGTCCGCAAGCACGTTGAGCTTGCCCCGCTTAAATTCGATGCGGAAGTTGTACTCCGCGAAGAAGGACAGCCAGCTTGCCATCCTTTGGGAGAGGTGAGGCGAATTTCGCGTCGTCCTCAAGGACGCGTGGTCTGTGTAGATCACGAAGGCCTGGAGCTGAGACGGTGAACACGGAGCTTCACAAGGGCACATTTCATTACCAGGAGCTCCTTGTCGTGGACAGGGTAGCTCCGCTCGGCGGCTTTGAGCTGCCTGGACTGGAACGAGATGGCTCGTTGTGTCCAGCCCTGTCGGCCTGCAGGAATGCACACCCGATGGCGTAATCGGAGGCATCGCAGACGACGCTAAACGGCTCCGTCTCTTCCGGCAGGGCCAGGACAGGGGCCACTTGGAGACTGGCCTTGATGCTGTCAAAAGCATCCTGGTGCTCTTGCTCCCAGCGCCAGTCGGCCGACTTCTGAAGGAGGCTCGACAAGGGCTTAGCGAAGCCCGCGTACCCTGCGCTGTACTTGTGAGGGTAGTTGGCCAAGCCCAACCACTTTCGAAGATCCTTTTGGGATCGGGTCCTCGGCCATGCTTCTATGGCCTTGACCTTGTCTGGGTCAGCCCGAACGCCCACGTTGCTTACGAAGCAACCGAGAACTTTAATCTCTGGTGACGCGAAAACGCACTTGTCGATGTTGGCGTAAACTTTGTTCGCTCGCATTACGTCCAACACTCGACGTAGGTACCCTCGATGCACCTCCATGGCCGTCTTGCCTCCCTCGGCACGGCTATGGACGAATATGTCGTCGAAGTACGTCTGTACGAAGGTACACAAAGGGCGGAACAATTGCGTCACCTGGCGATTGAACGTCACCGGGGCGTTAGACAGGCCCTGCGGCTTGACGAACCACTCCCAAAGCATGCCGCTTGGAGTTCTCACCTCGGGAGCAGGATGTCACTCTCTCGCATCAGGATCTGTTAGTATCCGTCTACCAAATCCAGCGCACTGTACAGTAAGCTCCCAGCCATGGTGTTTAACAACACATCCTTTCGTGGGATTGGTGTTTGGGCCGGCACCGTTGCGTTGTTCAGCTGGTTATAAGCGTGATCCAGACGCCACTTTCCGTTCGGCTTCCGAACGCAGAAAGGCGGCGTCGAGTGCGGGGATTTCGACTCCCGCACCATGCCTGCCTTCGCTTTCGCGGCGAAGAAGGCATCAATAAACTCGCATTGTTCGCGCGGGAGAGGCCATTGCCTCGCGGCACAATACTTTGTGCCAGGCACGAGACCAATCTGATACCGTACACCTCGATCCGGTGGGAGTTGGGTCGGTGGGTGTTTATTGACCACGTCCGCATACTCCGTCACCAAAGGATACACCGAATCCTTGGGGTTCTTAAGGATCTTAGAACCCAAGTGCGTCTGACGCTGCTTGTTTCGGTTTTCCAGGACGTTCTCGTCCAAGACAGAGGAGGCGTTCAGCTCCTCCCGAGTGGTCTCAGGTCTCATGAGCACCATCTCAGCAACCTTTCCAGCCTTGAGGTTGGCCAGGAAAGACTCGACCGTCATTTCCTCGAGGTTCAGTATCTCTGCAACCTCTGGCAACGGTTCCAAGTGGACACCAGATGTCTTGACGGGTAATCCGGTCTTGCCATCGAAGATGTGATAGCACTCTTCCACCGGCCTTGTCGGAGGAGCCCGGGCCCTGGATTCCTAGTCGTTTGAAGCGACGTCGCTGACGACGGCGACCGTGACGTGGAACTTTGCTGCCCACGTCTGGGGATGTCGGCGCTGCGACATCCGAGGCACTCGTGGCCTCGTGTGATACTATGATATCCACACAGGAAGCGTGTTTGACGTCTTCCTCTTCAGTTAAGGTCTGGTCGACCGTGAGTGGAACTCTGTTACCGACTCTGAACACGCTGTTCTCAGTGTTCGTGACAGCTGCAGCTGTCTGCGGAGCTAAGCTACCCACTTGGCCAGGGCCTCTTCTGGGCGCTGCCACCATCAAAACATCCTCGGAGTCGTCATATACGTCGACGACTCCCAAGCATCTGCCGTGGAACCCTGACTCACCAATGCTCTGTCGGAGTGCGCGGGGCGGATGGCACCGATTGCCTTGCCTCGCCAGTCGATCCAGGGCTCGTGCTTCTCAAGTCAGGACATGCCCAGGATCATATCACATGGATCCATATCGAGAACAGTGAACTGTTCGAGGCTGTCAAAGTCTTCAAACTTGACGGCCAGATCCACCTGAACATTGAGGACAGTGACGGCCTTCCCGTCGGCCAGTCGCACTGACACCGTCCCGTTGCCCTTGCTTTCTCTTACAGTATCGGACAGATTGTTCCTATTACGAGCAACTGTCTGGCGGCGTTCAAAATTCTTCGACACCCCAGAATCGATCAAGATTCTATAGGGATGATCGTATCCCCGTACACGTCTGTGTACTACGAGCAATCTGCCGCTGCTCTTCGCCGATTCAAGAGTGCGAAGACTCTCAGGAGCTAAGTCCCCGTCCTACGCGCCACCCGCGCACCCATCACGAAGACGTAGTTCTACTTCAGTAGGGCGCCCCACCCCTACTCGTTTCCGGCGTTCCCCTGTCCCCGGGATTCTGGCTTCTGCCAGCGACCCTTGAGGACGGGCTTGGGGAAAGACCGTCTGCGGAATCTTTCCGCAGGACAGTCGCGCTTGACGTGACCCATCTTCCCGCAGCCGAAGCAGCGGATGTCACGCTGCTCGGCCGGGAGCCGACAAGGAACTCCCAGGCCATGCTGAGGCCGGCGTACGCGCCTGGTGATGGCTGTATTCTTCCTGAAGAGCCACTCGAATCGCCTCTTCAAGGGTGCTTGACTGCACCCGGAACAGCTGAGTGCATGCGGGGCCCACTCGAAGGCTGTCCATGAACATGATGTGCTCGTTGAGTGGGTTTCCCACTAGGGACGCCGTGAGTTCCCGTATCTCCTGCACGTACTTGTGCAGCTCGCGCCTCCCTTGTTTACACGAGAGGAAGCGCGAATGCTGGCGGTACTCGTAGTTCGCCGGGAGGAACGCGGCTCGGAGCTGTTCACACAGCTGAGCCCAGGATGTTAAACATCCAGGGGATGTTGCTTCCCGTGTGTACACCCAAGTCTTAGCACGGCCGCTAAGGTTGGAGAGTGATAAAGCAACACGAAGTTGCTCGGTCGAGATCAGAGCCGCGTCCATCGCGAGCTCTACTTCTCGAACCCAGAAGTGAAGGCTCTCGCCTTCCTTCCCTTCATACGGCTTAACCTTCAGCCGTATTGGCTTCGGGTGTGGCGGATTTGCTTCCGCCGCAGGAGCCTGCAGGTTCTTCCGCACATGCGCGACGAGGCCCTGCTCGTACGCGTCAAACGCATTGACGCGCTCGAGCTGCTCGGCCGGTGTTGACACCACCAGGCTCTGCAGGGCCTCCATCTCGAAGATGCCTGTCATCTTCTGAGCCGACTCGAACTGAGAGTCGTTCATATAAGAGAAGTCGTTCCTGTCCATGGCAACGAACTTCGGAGATGCTCAGGTAGTCTACCCACGGTGGCGTGGATTGACTACGGATGCTACCAAGTGTGACGGGGTCACACAGCACGTTGCGCTAGAGGAAGTTATCTTCCGAGAGTATACAAACTCTCAGTGAACTGCAGTTCACGGGTCCCCTCTTTAGTAAAAGAGAGCGAAGTGACCAAATTAAGGTAGAATGTAAACTGAGTATATTTATAGGTAGATAAAGCTTGGGTTTAATACAAACTATAAGTCACCTATAGAAATGCAATGTCGTCAACCAATGGTTGGCTTTGAACGACCTTGGTAATTTGTACCATAAATCCCGAAATATGACGTGTCACACTTCATGTAACAAGGGTACACTAAGGACTACGTACCCCGTTACACCTGGAGTCTAATTGACATTTAACCATCCTAGAATCATCGCTAAACTATCAATTAAAAAACACCGCCGTCAACAATAACAACAGCAAGGCATCTTGCGACGCATTATCCAGATGCTTTTATTATAGCTGGCACAGATTAGAGTATCTAATGACTCATTCTGAATCAGCACAAACGACCGCTAAATGTATTAAAAGTACAAAACTTAATATGGTTTTGGTTTAATGGAGTTTTGTATGAGAGGTGATCAATCTTTAGCTACTTACAAGATTAAACCGGGAGTACAAGCGAGTAAGTAGTGCAAGCTGACACGCCATAACTAACTTTTGCGTTGATGTGAGCTTCCTTTTTTTTTGCTCAGAAACGGCCCGTGGAAACGAGCACGACGCTAAACTAAACATATTGTGTAGCATTTGTATAAATGTTATTTAAAGTGCAGGTGGTTTTGGGTGAAAGATGAAGATACAGTGATAACCAACAATAATAAAGAGGTTGTAGTAAGAATCTTGATTCAGGATCATTATAACATTATTTTTAATCAGGTAAGCATGATGCTGACCCAGATTACTTATTAAGGCGCATATGGGGCCTAGCGTTTTGTAATACTTATCCCGTCGAAGCGTAGCGGAGGCGGGAAGGTATAATTAAACTTTAAATACTGCCGCGAGGCGGCGGCGCTCGGCTAGTCTTATAATGGCAGCAGAAATGTTTCTTAGTCAGTCATCCAATGAGGTGCGAGCAGCGTTGACGAATAGTGCACGCACGGACTCGTTGTTGACAGCAATTCTCCCCTACAACAGAGCGGTTCCACGACTAAATTGCTTTTTTCGATGGCAGCTGAAAAAAACTTCGCGAATTGGATAACCTCGCTTCGGTTTTTTTACATCTCATTTTGCATGTCGCCTCAAGAAGCATCAACTACTTCAGGAATTCCTTGCCACGTAAGGATATCAGAGCTCTCTACCCGCCGGGGTGGACTTCCCTTCGTGATGAAATCGTTGGCCCTGTCTTTCAACGTGCTCGACCTTGCGATTGCGATCCCGTCGGGTCGGTTTCTCAAGTATTATCAAAGCCAAACGTCCAGAGCGAGGCGGGTTTTTCTTCCAGTCAACGTTCCGGCCGACAAGGCCAAACTGCTGGCAAAGAGAAAACTCGTGCTTCTTCAAAGAAGCGGACGACGAAGGCAACTTGGCGTGAGCAGTGCCGCATTAACCAGGCGAGGTACAGGAATCGACAGCGCCAGCGCGAGGAAAGCCTTACCGAACGCGTTCGTCAGCTACAAGAACAAGTCGAAGATTTGAGGCTCGGACTCAAATTGCGCGTCATTGCTAAGCGCCAACCGGCAAATACAAATCTTTGGCTCGTGGCGACCGAGTTCTTCCGCATCCTTTCTAAGTGCTACGAGTAGCAGATAACCTGGTAGTTCACGCAGTAGACTGCAGCGTAATGGTCTCGCGAACAAGCAGTAAGTCAGAGAAACTTGACTTGTTTGTCAGGAAAGCAAAAGCAAGAATGCATTCATCGTTAAACCTTTCTACTCCGCGCAGTCTCTCATACGCAACGTGCCATGCACGCGGAGGAAAACCCGTTGGACATGCATCGCACCATCAACAGCTAAAAAAACCCGTTGAACTCACGCGTCCCTGCTTACTGGCACGTGGTTCTTCTTGTCTCCTATATGCCTGGTCTCAGCTTGAATGACCGTGCTGCATTGCAGATGAGCAGCTTCCTGTTACTCCCACCTCATTCATGCTGAGCCTCATCCTGTTCAACGTTTTCAACGTTTAGCTTCTGGCGGAGACCCTGGAATCTTTGTGGTCCCAACGCCTTCGTGAAGATGTCTGCGATGTTCTCTTCGCTCGAGATATACTGCACCGCGATTTTCTCTTTCTCCACGAACTCGGCGATTTTCCGACTTGTCTTGGCAAATCTCTTCATACGCTGGTAATTCCCAGGCTCTGTTACTACAGTGAGCGTGCTTTGATTATCCATGTAGAGCGTAGAGCACGGCAGCTTATCACTCCGAATCTCTTTCAGCAACTTACGAGCCCACATCAAGTCTTCCACGCACATACTTGCTGCAAGCAGCTCCGAGCTGCACGTGTCCGTGGTCACTTTGCTTTGTTGCTTGCTCTTGTACATGAACATGCATCCGTTCAACCGCAGAATGTATCCTGTAATAGATCGACTCGTATCCGGACAGTTGGCATGGTCGGCATCGCAGTAAGCATCAATTGTCAGCGGCAGCACGTTCGCTTGACGTTTATACACTAAGCCGTAGGTTCGCGTAGCCCGTAGGTAACGCAGTACGCGCTTCGCACACTCGTAATTCTCCTCTGTGTACGAGCTGCTGTAGCGAGACAACGTACGCACTACGTTGGCCAAGTCCGGCCGCGTGCATGCCACTAGATACTGCAAAGCACCCACCAACTCACGGAACGGAAACTTTGGATCATTGGTCTTGTCCTGATTTTTCTCAATCGGTGGCATCCTCTCGTTCTGCATCTGCGGGGAAGCCGCAGACCGCGCCCCACTCATACCAAAACGTTCGAGCACTCGGTCAATGTATGCTGTCTGCGAGATGCAGAGCAACTCCCCCGGCACATACTTAACTTCCATAGCCAACAAGTGCTTTACACGACCGAGGTTCTTCAACGCGAACTTTTCGCTCAGCTCACCGATTACATGCTCAATGTCCTCCTTTGATCCAGCGATCAACAAGTCATCAACATATACTGTAACGTACACAGCGCGGCCGTCCTGCCACCGCTGGTACAAACCGACGTCAAATGTGCACTGCTTGAAGCCAATTTGCTCCAAGTACTCGTGCAGTGTCTGGTACCATAAGCGCGAAGCTTGTTTCAAGCCGTAGAGTCCTTTCAGCAACTCACATACACGACCGCTTCCGTCATTGAAGTATGCGGGCTGCTCCATGTATATTTTCACTCCTTTCAGCACACCATTAAGGAAAGCCGTAACGAAGTCAACATGGTAGCATTCATAACCCAATAGAAATGCCAGGATCAATAACATCCGCACAGTCTCAATTCGAACGACAGGAGAGTACGTATCCAAGTAATCAACACCGTACTTCTGTCCGCAGCCTTTCACTGCTAAACGAGACTTGAGTCTGTCCACAAGCCCCTTTTCGTTGAGCTTGGCTCTCAACACCCACGTGGTTTTCAAAATGTTGTGCGAGCCTTTGGGTCTATCGACCAGTCTCCAGGTACCATTCACTTTGTGTGCTTCCATCTCGAGTTCCATCGCTTTGATCCACTTTTCACGTTGTGGAGACGCTAGAGCTTCTTCAACAGAAGCAGGATTTCCTGCGAAAGTCTCTAGTGCTTCCAAGGAAGCCATCACATAGTCTTTCAACCGCACATTTTCTTTTCGGATACGCTCTGATCGTCGCCATCCACGCTTGCGCTTCGAGCTGCGCCGCGGTTGAGATCCATTTAGGAAGTCCGGATTGCGTTCCGACCAAGGTCGAAGTTGATCCGCCGTTGGCATTTTGTCATCTACATCATCGTTCTCTTGTGACTCTCTGTCATTCGATGCACTTGCTGCTCCCACCGAACCTGCAGCCTCTGCTGCTAAGTCATGCTGCTCGGTGTTCGCTTGCTCAACCGGCTGATCATCTATCCGTGCAGTTTCATTAACAGCCTCTCTTACTGCTTCATGAGCTCCGGCCCGAACGGCTTCGTCAGCAACGTACTCCACTGGGAGTGGAACAAATGGTATCTGCGGGAAATAGTGCTGTCGGCCCTTCAACAGCGCGTTAATGTATGTGCGCTCGACCGTCACGTCCTCGCGGAACTTGACGTCGCGGGCTTCAATCACTTTCCCACTTCGCAGATGAAGCAGTCGGTAGCCATGACCCATCCTTGCAAAACCAAGAAACAGTCCCGGTTCAGCCTTTGCTGAAAGCTTGTTCTTCCTGGTCTCCTTCGGAACAAATACGTATCCCACACAGCCGCACACCTTTAGTTGCGCAACGTCAGGTTTTAATCCTGACAGCTTTTCAGTCGGGGTTAACCCTTGCAAAGCTTTTGTCGGACTCAGGTTGTCCACCTCCACCACATAGCGCAAAACCTCCGGCCACAATATCATCGGCAAATTGGCCGCGTGCATGACAGCACGCATCTTGTTCACGAGAACACCATTTAGTTTTTCAACTAAGCAGTTTTCTTCCGGTGTGTACGGATGAGTGGGGACGAAGGTGATTCCCTTGCTCTCTAGGAACCCCGTCAGCACACTGTTTACGTATTCCCCCCCCTCCGTCACTCGTGAACGTTATTATCCTTTTGCCTTGAGCCAGTAGCTCAGTCATCAGCCGTTGCGTGTTGCCAGAAGCTTCACTCTTGTGTACGAGCGGGTAGCACCACTTGTATCGCGAGCCCTCATCATGAATGAGCTGGAAGTACCGCATTGCACCAATTCCTGGTCCGTACTTCCCCATATCACATACATCTGAGGTCAACCGCTCAAAGTTTTGAACAGTTCTTTTCTCGGTGACATCCCCATACGACATGCGTTTTCGCTTTGTCGACATGCAGCTAAGACACTTTAACTTGGTCTTCAGCTGCTCGGCAGGAATGTCCAAGCCTCTCACCACGTCGTTCTTCACCATGAACTTCAAAGCTGCCTCGTTCAGGTGAGCCAGACGTTCGTGCCACTTCATTAACGGACTGTCATCCGCATTTACAGTCGCCATAATCACAGCACTGTTATCGCCAAAGCTACCATTGTTTAACCAGTAGTGAGTCCCATGATAAATGAACTCCCACACAGACTCCATTTCGAGTCAAAAATTGCTTCTTCGGTAGCACTCCAGGCGCACTGGTTGACAGCTCCCAGCCTTTGTTTACCATCAGTCCAAGACTGAGCAAATTCACAGGTCCAGTGGGTGAAAACACCACTTTATCCAGTTCCAGCGTGGTTTCACCACCACTCAGCACGTTCAATGCGTTCAGCAGCACCTTACCGCACTTTTTACTACGCGTGATGCCGCCGTCCCATACTTTGAACGAAGCCTTGGATTTCTTCATGCTTGTGAATTGTTCTTTTTGGTTGCACACATGCGAAGACGTTCCCGAGTCCAGCAGCCAATCGCCACTAAGCTCATGTCTTCCTTCTTGAATTGCCATACCCACAAATGGAAGTTCGCCTTCAGAACTGCTACTACTACTGCTGCTGTCGTCCTCACGACCAGCATCCGCAGTGAACCGCATGAAGCCCATAGAACCCACTGGCTTACTGGCCAAACCCGAGGAATTACCTCCACCGCTGTTGCTCGGCTTCTTCGTCTCGGTGGCCTTGCCTTTGCCAGCTTGAGCCTTGCTTTGCTTGTTTTTGTAGTGCCAACAGTCTTTCCGCATGTGTCCAACTTTCTTACATGGTAGCAGCGAATGGCACGTCGTTTGCCTGCACCGGTGGTCTGCATCTGCCCTCGAGGACCAGGGCCGGGGCCTGGACCTTCATTCGGCCCATAATGCTGCCCGTTAGGCTTCCCCATATGCATTGCCACCTGCGGGCCGCCATTGCTTGCACCACAGTTCACGGCCGTGTCAGCCGCCATCTTCTCCATCTCATCGCGCGACAGCAGTGCGTTCTTCACTTGCTGCAACGATGGTGGGTTTCCTTGTCGGTATGAGAAGTCGAACTGGGTCACTATCTCGCGATGCACTGCACACACTCCCATCAGCATCAACTGAGACATCGACGTATCGTCTATCACGAAGCTGGGCCCCATGTGCTGCAAACGCTGCCGCAACATGTTCATCTCTTGGATGTATTCCGCCATCTTTTGGCCCGGGGCGTACGAGTGAGTGTACAGCTCACGCTTCAAATGCACTGCATACGAGAAGTCTCGCTGGGTTTTCTCCGCAGTCAATGTGTCCCACATCTCCTTCGCCGTGCTGCAAATGCACACTTTTTGGGCATCAGCACCTTTTACGCCTCGGATTATAGTCTCCATGGCCAGTCGATTTCGATCATCAAATTGACGCTGCAACACCGGATCAAATGCATGACGCATTTCTTCACCGGTCACCACACTCCATGAGTCTCGCTGCTCAAGATAGAGCTTTAAACTCATCTGGTATACCTCGAAGGTATCGCTAAACTTCGGTGGCTTGCTGCTGCCAAATGGTTTTGACCTTTGAACTACAGGAACCGCCGGTTGCTGCACACCAAGTAGTCCTGGCGACGCTCCAGCCTGCCCCACTACACCAGCCATTGGTACCCCAACGCGACTTGCATCAGCCAGCGTAACAGTAGGTTGCCCCACCGATACTACCGCTGTTTGCTGTTGGGTCGTCGGAGTCGCACTAGTTATCGTACTCTTCGTACTTGCATTGACGCTCGTCGTAGAAGCCTTATATTCACTCATTACGATGTCCACGAACC